TTGAAGTGGACTTCCTTAGACGTTGGATCCAGCCACTTTCAAACAGTGTCGAGTCGCTAGCGAATCGATCGACTCGCAAACTATGACATCGGCCTACCAGAGAGGAAGAAAATGCAACAATGAGAAAGACTGAATCTAGAGTTCAACTCTTATTGACCCGGTATCTTCGCATTTAGATGGATCTTAAGGGTTTCAGAGACTTTCGTTGATTCCTACGCCCTATTTTTGGAATGATAATGATCTTTTGTTTGCCAAAAGGCTTGATCATTGACTTCAATTGTTGTTTTTATTTGAGAAATCAGAATCATGAATTCAGACACAACAGGCCTATTGCGGGCCCTACAAAATGGTACGGAAGAAGTCAGTCATTTGTTGACGAATAGCTGTAATTTGATTCTGGAATGCAGGTGAGCAGCAGCAGTCCTCCCATTTCATTACGCTTTCTTACCATCAATTTTGACAATATTCTTCAGTAATGAGTACGTAATTTAGATGTTGTAAAGCTGTGTTTCGACACGCAAAGAACTTCCATCATCATAAGCTGAACGTCTGCCGTGCTTATCACATACCTGTAGCTCCCACATACGAGCAGGTTTTGGCATTCCAAAAAGCTGCCGCTGCAGCTTATAAGGAAGACCGGCCATCAACCATCAAGCAATCCTTGATAGAAGAAGAACTGGGCTTTCAAATGGAAATTTTGGAGGAAAGTGAAGCGGATCTCCTTGATGTATATGACGGTATGGAAGAGTTATGTGGCGACATTGGTAGTCCAGAACCCGGCGAGGTTATCGATGAGACAGACCTCAGTGGTACTGATGACGGCATGTCGGATACAATAGAAGAAGGAGAATATATTGAAGACGATTCTACTGCTAGCAGTCCAGCCACGCCATTATCAGTTGAGGTTAGCTTTTTACTAATTTAGTTTAGGACAGTTTCAGGGCAGGAACCACAGGTCCACACTGATCAGAGGGGGATCTGGGGATCCCACAGGAAAAGTATTTCGCGCTGCAAAAAAAAACGGATAAATCGCCTTCTGTCCAAGCTAAGCACACCGTCGGAATCGACTTTTCAGCTTTTCGCAGCACGGAACTTTTTCCGCTCCGACAAGCCCTGGTGCACTACTGATCACTGGTGGACCTAAGATTCCTACAACGATAGTTTCTCGCTTGAAGAAGTGGAAAAGTCGCTTTCCGTCCCTGCAAACCACTACCCGTCAACCAAAGTCAGAGTGGATGTACGTTTGAAAGAGTACGGTCTTGCGTCATCGCGTCGATAATTCACAATGGTCGGACCATGTGCATGCGATTCCCTCAAACAGTGAAGCGCGTTTCGCTATCGATTGGTTATTAATTTGTGCTGAAAAGCGTCCGCCAAGACACTGAGGCATTCACAGCGAAAAACCCCCCGTAACCAACAACGTGTTTACCTATTCACCGCGACAGCAATAGGGCCAGACGTTTTGGATATCTGGCGACTTCAAGATTAGGCAATAAAAAACTCAACGGCTCTTCAAATCTTCCGGAACATTGTGCATGCCTTAACATGTCATCTTGCACCTATGAAACATTGTGGCTGCAGCCCACAAGCGTTTTTTATGCCGCATGATGCAAAGGGCCGCAGTGCTAATCCTCCCCTCACTCGTATGCTAGTCAGGGTGGGAAGACACTATTGAGTCATATGGACTGGCCATTCCCGTGCTTCATATTTCGACTCCTGAAGAACGCAGCGAAGGACAATGCCTGGAAAAAGAGACTATGCAGCCCATGTTCCATGGTGGGTCTGCAGACATAGCCCTGTCTTCCCTCCCTAGTGGGTAACATCACCAGGGGAAGATGCCTGGCGTGTGGTTCGTGTAGCATACTGCCCTAGTACACGATATCTTCGCCTCCGACTAAATCTTACTCCTCGAAAACACTGCATAGAAACGACGTTGCGTTCTGTCGTGATGCCAAATACCCTCTCCCGAATCTGATTCGGACGAGTAGTCCATTCTTAGTGGACTTCTCTTAGTACCCGAATGGAAAGAGAAGGCGGCGGAGTTGATCCTTACTGAAGATGAGCTCATAAGTAGTTTTGGAAGTAGCCACCTCTCTGACGCAATGCTGGCATAACATTACTTACTAGGCAATGTTTTCTGATTGAGAATCGTACCTTCAGGGTGTGGAGCAATGTGATACTTCGCAAGCAGAAGCCTTACAAGAGATGGACAGTTCCAGTGACGGTATGTTCTTCTTGTTTGCCTTGCCCACTACTACTATCTCAATAACGAGGACAAAAGTTGCGGGTATATCACTCGCGAGAGTGCATTCATAGGGAGATGTTTCGTTACTAATACCTTGTGACTCGGGAAACTGAACACTTTGATACGGTTAGAGATTGCAACCCGTGACCTATTTATGTGACCGTTTAGAGTCTCCTTATCGATTTTCCAAGGTCGAACCCACTACCGCGTGTGCTCTCATTTCGAATAGCTTGTACAGATGACTCGCTTGGAACTCACTGGACAGTGAAATTGTTTAATCAACCCTTTCAAAGCAAATAAAACACGCGCTGTACGCTTCTCCATTTGAAACACATGAATCGCATGATCAATGGTTCCGATCGTTGTAACCATTAACGTCATTCGAAAGAAAAATAAGGGCAACCTATGACGAAAAAAGACTTACGAAGCGGCTGCATCCTCTTTACGCGAAAGTCCTCCTGATGGTCATACTAAACTTCCGCATAATTCATGATCAGCTCCTGGAATCACCAACGGATCACGATTACTTCGGGAAGGGTGAAAAACTGTCAGCGCTTTCAATGCTTCTTCCAGTTGCTCAAATGGAATAGTTCCGATGTTTCTTTTTCTTATTCTGACTAGTTTTACTAGTTAATGCCTCTTGACAGTTGTCTAATACCGACGACTGTATCCCAGGCATCCAAAGTTGGCAAAATGATTGTCCAAAAAAATTTATGCTAGCTGATGCTATGCGCAAGTTGCTCATTACGGAGTATTTTTGTCTACACTTTAGATACTTCACTGTGCCGCTAAATGCATCTACTTTCATCGTTTTCTAAAACGTGACTTTGTTGGGAGTGTTTGTCAGTACCGTTCGTATGAAAACCCGAAAGAATTAATTACCTAGTCGTTTTCTAAATGATGAAAGTAGGATGTATGAAGCTGAGATCAGTGCTTTGCCGCTTTTTTATTGTAACCGTAGTTCCGCCGGATTATACGTGTGAAACCTGTGATTGAATCATGATATAGTGTCACCATTTCCCCATAGGTTCTTCTAGACTTTGGCGTAAAACATGCCAGAAAAATAACTGCTTACAAATGTTTGTAAATATTTCTGTTGACCAACGTGGTTTGCACGGGTGTGGTTCACTAGGACAGAAAGCGACTTTTTCGCGTTTCGCAGCGCGAAACATTTTTCGCTGCGGGAAGCTCCAGGTCCACTCATGATCAGCGGTGGACCTGAGGTTCCCGCAGCGAAAAATGTTTCGCGCTTGAAACGCGAAAAAATCGCGGCGCAATGTGGCTAGGGGGGGTGGTGTTCATTAGGACAGTAAGCGGTTTTTCGTGTTTTACAATGCGGAACATTTTGCGCTGCAGGAACCTTAGGTTATCGTCCAGGATCGACCTTCTTTTAATCTTGGCATATTTTGATCAGATGAGTACTTGATTGTAGCCGTCCAAGATTAGTTAACTTTATTAGGCCAACGTTTCGGCAACTTCGCCTTAGGTCATCGCTGATCGTGAGTGGACCTGAAGTTCCTGAAGCGAAAATGTCTTGCGCGCGAAACGCGAGAGTCGCTTTCTGTCCTAGTGAACCAAACCCGGATCGGGGGTGGGTGGGTGGGCAGGGCAGTCGCCGCCGTGCCGCATCGCATGTTCGCGTACCTCTGTGCGTAGCGGGGAACCCGTGCGCTAAGAGTGTAGCCAGTGTCGGGGATGGAGGGGGGGGGGGGTTAGGGCAGTCACTTGACGTGCGTGAAAAGCTGGAATATTCGAGTATTCTCTATGTCGCGAACATGCCATGCGCCGAGGCCGCGACTGCCCCCCCCCCTCCCGCCCGAGCCGCATTGAGCCAAAGTCGCTTTTCTGCTAGTGAACTACACCGCGTTGCACTCCAGGAATGTGCCCCGTGAGGTCATCTCACGTTTCGTATGACGAACGTATTAGTTTAAACTTTTTTAGTGTTCTGCTTCTTTTATTACTAGGGATGTGCATGACGAGTTACTGTGTTCAGGAACATTCGGTTATGATTTACCCCACTCTTTCTCTTACATTCGAGAATAACACTTCTGTGAATTGTACAATGCTTAATATCTACTAGTTTCTCCATTGTTGACCTTTTAAATGTCTCTGTTCAAAGATGGTTTGATGGTCCAATCAAACATTGGACATTTCATTAATTCAAAAGTAAAATATGCCTTTCACAAGGACTTTTATTTCACAATTTGTATTGTGGATCCCAGCTCTTTACATAGCATACATTATTCTATTGTACATTCTTATAGCCTTGGAGCTCCATCATCGAAAGCACAGGTTTTTAAATGCTATTTTTTGTAAAGGAAAAGTGTCCTATCATAAATCTACGACTTGCTCCAACCTTTGTCAGCCAAAAAAAAAAGACGATGAAGATTGCACACAAGATCCGTCTCGGTCAAACCAACGACTGATTTTTTGGCTGCCTTGACGATTCAACTCAAAAATAGGGCCGGCGAAGATACGAAAAAACTCCATTAGAAGTACAGTAACGTCTTCCGTCAAAGTGGCGAGTTATGTGCTATAATAAAGAGATTTGTATGCGAATTTGCATGAACCATTTTTTGCTTACAAAAAAATGATGATATAACCGCAGTAACGAACCAATGAAGAAAACCGTGCTGTATACGCTACTGATAATAAATAACTGTATGTTACAAAACCATAAAAATACATAAAAAGATTGTCGAATAATATATTATATATACATTTCTCTTTAATCACATACAACTTCATGTTCTTGTCATCGGATGGGCTCGTAATCGAACTGAGGCAGGCTGCGCGCTGCTGGGCGAGTCAAGCAGCGGAACTGGAAAAAATTACAAACAAAATATATGTTTCATGGTGAAACCACGTCAAAAATACTTTTGACCTCCATCATGGATGAAAAAGTAAAATTGGCTTGTTCGTGACTATGACAAGTTCTTTTTCTCTGCAGAGATTATCCATCAAAATTTACCGAGATGAGGGGAGGCGGCCGAAGTCGCAAAATCGCGCCTGTCTCACCTGCCAAAAAGGGCCGAAAAACTTGCTTCGTGAACATGTGTGACCATAGCAGGCCGAGCATTTGAGCAAAATGTCCGTAGAAAAATTAGGCCGTTGATAAGGGTTCCATCATACAACTTTGCAGACGCCAGAAAACAGTAGCGTTGAATGCAAGGGAGGTTAATTGATATGTGAACAACACCTAGTGAATCTTACCCGAAAGCTTCTGGGATAATCGCGGGGGGGCGGGGGGGGCGTAGCAGAACCAGAGTTAAGGTCACATCAGCTGCATCACTCCATGCTTCTGAGGACGAGATCAGCACCTGTGAAATAAGCAATGCAAGCAAGCAGAAAGTAATGTAGCTAATTGACTGAATTACCAAAGATGACACACGGTCCCCTTCCTTTGAAATATCGGTGGTCAGAGGTCGGAAAAAGCCACGTGTGTTATTAGGATAGTCGACCTGTAAAACATTATTGCATGTATCCCAAAGAATTATAATATATACCAATTGGCGTCGCACGCTTGCGCGCACAACACAGTTCAGCGGCGATATGGAATGGTTGCAGCATGATTCTAAAGTTTGGTCATGCACTCGAATAATCGATTCTAAGCTAGGTTCTTCCGGTTGCCCATAACTCATCCACCGATGGCTTTTGAGTCCCCCTTCGTCAACCGATTGTTGAGTCTTTTCCCCTGGGTCTCGGACGTTTCGAGACAATGTTTATAAATCGTAACTCGCCCATTTCGGTGCATGTCCACTCCCTTCTTTTCCTCGCAACCTCTCTGGTTTGTTCCGGTCTCTGTCTCCGAGCTGAGCTGTATGCTTGGAGCCCGCAACTCGGTGGGAGCTCCGCCCACCCATAGAGGTTGACTTCCAAAAATGACTGTCGACCTCTTCTATCGCCAACCTCGACGTACTTTTCCCCAGTCTCCCTGACTTCTTGTAACGGATTTCCAATGTTTCGTGGATACTCCGCCGTCTTCGGTTTCTTCGTTGTATGTCACGACCACAACAGCAGAAACCTGGTCATACACGCTGAGTCATGCACTCTTTTCCCGTTTCCAAGACTTTTCTGGTATAGAACAGCGGTGGTTTAGTTGACGCTTATCACCACCTTTGTGCAAGCCATTATATACGAGCCTCCCTTCCTCCGATCTTTATCCACACGTTTTCCCCACTCCAAGAATTCTCGGAACCGAATTATTAAGTTTGTAGGAAACACTGTGCACTTCAGGGTACGCTCTGGGAAGTCGGCCTCCGCCCACTCATAAGCTAGGAATCACCTTGGATAATGTATGCTATACGAAGTTATTACGCATACAGTGCGTTTCAAAAGTATGTGCACACCCTCAAAATTCACGTTTGAAAGGGAACCATGAGGTTTCGTGCTATGAAATCCTTCTCAATCGATTTCTCGTAGTCGATAACCTATCAATGGAAGCAAAGCAGATAATATCGCGCTTCACTTTCGAAAAAAATTTTGGATGAAATTTTTTTCTTTGTTTCAAAAGTATGTGCACACTTAACAAAAGACAAAAACATAGCTGAGATTAGAAATCAGTGGGGCCTCCAGAGTTTCTAATTAGCTCAAACATCCTGTCCGGCATAATCTGAACCACGTTTGGCATAGCTGTTTCGTCGCTGTCGGCCCAAATAGCCTCTACCGCCGCCTTCAGTTCATCCGCGGTATTATACTGCCGGTTGCTAAAGTTAACGCCTTGATCAAGGGCTCCCTATAGGGTTGCAGTAAGGAGGACACACAAGCCAATCTATTGCTTCAGCACCATTTGGTTAAGGCCATTCTTTGGTAGATTGCGAAGCATCGAAAGACACGTGGTCCTGTTGCCAAAAATGCAATTTTCGCTCCGCTTCGCTAAGAAAGGCAACAGGCGACATTGGAGCACTGCTTGGTATTCTTTACAGTTCATACGCAATAATGGAATGGCAACTTCTGAATGCATGCCCGCTCACCGGAGGTGCGTCTCTCAAATTCGATCTGGTTTATCAATGCACACCTTTACCCATTTTTCCATGTCTCTAAGCAGTTTTGGAATCTAATTTAAAATCTTGGTCATAAGTTCATTTTGTGCACGTATGCCCACGTGGGGGGGCTCCGCCGTATGTTTTGTACTTCTCGAGATATGGCATACCCATCCCACAAGGTGCGGTTCACTAGGACAGAAAGCGACTTTCGTGTTTCGCGCGCGAAACACTTTTCGCGGTAGAAACTCAGGTCACTCATGAGTGCGTAGATTGAGTTTCTGCGGCGAATAAATGTTTGCAATTGCGTAAACGCGAAAAAGTGATGCTGATTTAGTATCACACCCTTCCAATCTGACCCGGTCTCTCTAGACGTGACTCCAGGAGCTATGACTCCAGTGAATTTCGTGACAGACATACAGAACGACGAACATACGACAGACGAAGCACTTTGTAGTAGGTAGGACACAAGACAATTGTGATGCACTTAATCGAAAACAGTGCTTTTTTCTTTGGTTTTTGAATTAGTTTGAGTAATCGTGGCGCACTCTCAGTTGTATTGTAAAACGTCAGGTAGATAAGTGTTAACGCTATTAAAACCCTGTATGTTGAATAAGCCCATAAGCACCACAAAAAGCATGATACGTTAAAAATCTATGAATTGGGCGGCTCTGGTAATGCATTTCTCAAAAGGAGAGTAGGACTAACAAGGAGTGTGCATTTTCACATAACACGATATGCAGATGTGAAGCGTACCTGTACCCGTAGATTGCGTAGGTCGCTTTGGGAAAGGTTGTGAAGGGAAGCAACAAATTTTACAGCGCAAGGTAAACCAGCAACGAAACAAATTGGCTTCTCAATTGCAACATCTCGATTTGGTTCAGAAATCTGCAACATGAAAAGATTTGGTTACTGCATAATGGAGCATTAAATGTCGTGAGTTTGACTAAGATTATCAGAAATAAACGAAATCTGTGCGTACCTGAGCCCATTTCGATCGAATCTTCCCCACGTCAGGGAAGGAACTGGGTAGAAACGGAGCGTGCGTTACCAACAAATGACCGAATGTACCAACAGAGAGAATCTTTTTAGTCTCTGCTGTGACACGTTCCAAAGGATCCAAAATAGCAGATATCAAAGCTATAGCCTGTTCGCAAGGTTCTCCATTTACAGCCCACCGACTGAAAAACATCTTATTTCGAAACTTTCCATTTAAAATAAAGTGGAGTTGACGCACTTCTCTGCTTCCTCAATGACAGCGCGAATGTTCAAAACAATTTGAGCATAACGTTCAGGATTAAGAGTCATCTCCACAAGCTGTTCCAGTAATGACAGGAACATTCCTGCTTCGATTAAGAATGAGAGCATTTCCGGTGGGAGCCCCGCAAACTGATGCTCTGCGCAACGTATTCGAACCAACTCCTAAAAATTAATGTGAGGTAAATGTAAAACGGTACTGCAGAAATAAGTGTAAGCCAGTACTAGAGAAAGAGCAGTGTTTTTCAAAGAAAGAGTATAGGCTCCTATCGAATATGGGAGGATAACGAACTAAAGTATTGATCCATGCAATTGAATAATATGTATTTATCTAGCCAAGAAATTTTTGAGTGGTGGAGGTGGAAGCTAAGAGGAACTTGGACGGATTCATAAGAAGTGCATGTCAGTACGGCTCAAGTTTGACTACGTCGGACCTAAACCTTCAATACGTACTCGTGAAAGGGTGAGAACCACTTCACGTTCTCGTGATAGGCGATACCTTCCGTATTATACATTTTCGCTGTTACTGTTAATATTTCGTTCCATTCATCTTGAAATGATTAGGTTCAAATTATTGTTGGAATTACACAACATTCCTGCCGATGTGCTAGTCCTTGGTTACAACTGACTGAAGTGAGAGTGTGTACGCCAAGCGGCGATTCCGCTAAAGGCAGGTTACGCGTAACCGCAATACTGAGGAACTAGTGAAGCCACTCGCGACCTATAACACCCCCCAGAGCGAACTTCTCTTGGTGTCTCCACCGCAACTCGAACTGGAAAGCGTTCTGATGAGGCGCGAGGCAGTCAGTTCTAAGAATTCGATGTGCAGAGATGTGATCATTTGACGAGAAACAAAAGAAGCATCTAAACCGGGCTATCAGAGAGTAAATGATTTCTTTACGTAAGACCCTATGATCGCAACCTCGAATTAAGTTGAGTTTCCTAATCCTCTAAAGCAGTCTACACAGGAACGTAAGACGTTGGCCTTTAGGTAGAGGCTTATTCGGCATTTAATACAATATATGTAGTCGAACGATAGCGGCACCGCAATGGAGTATTTCACTTGACAACCGCCGCAGGGGCAATAGAAAATCAACAGACCTAATGAAGGAATCTGTATCTCACAATCTCGATATTTTGGCTATCTGAAACGTTGAAAAAGCCTACTTGATGTACAAGGTTGGATGCATCCTTAATATCTCCACCGCCTCGAAGCACAACTTGAGTGAGTGATTCCAAAGCAGAACTTATTTCACATAAGCTCGCAATAAACGAGCAGCACCGGCTAGTGGCTCGTTGAAGGCACTAATAGCATTTGCATGCTCTAAAAGTTAGAATTTTAAGAGCACCTGGTCGCACAGAGAATCGCAATTGCACTTACTCGACAATGAGTCGTCGAAGAGCATTTCTATCAGCCAAGGTTGGTTCACGGATTACTTCCTGTAACCTTTCATAAGCATTCACCAATATATCTGATGTACTGCTTGCAAGTTCCTTCGAGGGAGACCGCACCCCCACCCGCAGCAGCACCAACCCCCACCACCAAACCCGAACACGACCAGAAAAGAAAAAGTATGGAAGAAGTAACACAAGCCACTGGTTTTTTCCAGAACCTTCATAGCCCTGTTCAGATTATCACAAACGAAAAATGTAACTGTGCAGCTATCGAAAACCTCATTTCTATCTAACCTTTATAGGCGCTACTAGATCGGGTGCAGCTGCGCGAAGAAATCGGTAATGCTTTAAAACACACTCAGGCAGAAGAGAAACAATAGGCTCGTAATTGGCCGCCGCATTCAACACCAGTATAAGCTTTGCGATATCTGGAAATAAAACTGGTTAAAAAAACCATATTAACCATTTTATAACATGCAACTTCAGTGCAAAGTAAGGTTCATTATACAATAACATTCTTGCCAATCCAAATTCCTTTTCCAAACTTCCAACCACATTTACAATAATCACCTACATACAAAATAAAAGCTTGAACTGCAGTCACAGTAAAGAAAGCAATTACGATAGGTTCTGGACTAGTGTATGGGCCGTATACCCCACTTACACAGACAACTTAAGAGATAAATGGAACCGCTTAAACTGGAATGCTTTTTTTAAATCAAAAGAGCGATGCCACTCGAGCCGATGCAGCTCGCCCAAATCACCATTTTGAAGAGGGTGGAGCGGTTTCTGAGTGTCACGATTTTTCAAGTTGGAGCCTGACTACGCTGCAAGTACCCTTTTTTAGCCCCAACATCTTGCTTCTTTAGTCACTTGGTTACCAATTCTAGCGGCGCAACTAGCTCTCCGCTCTGCACTGCGGTGCTTTGCCGTAATCATCTCCTCTAAGCATGCTCAAAGCAGTGATTCGATAGAAAAACTGCCTTTAGGAACGATTTTGTCCAATCTGAGGTGGGCGCGCAAAGAGTATGTATTCCCTCGTGCGCCTACGTGCAAATTCGCATAGTTTCCAAAGAGAAATTAATATTAAGAAAGAATAATTTTCAACAGACTGGCTCACAAAAGACATCGTCTATTTGTTGTTCTCTCGTGTCATACACAAGATGAAGACCAAGAAGTTCTCGAACCATTCCATGAACAAACACAGCATGACGAGCACCGACTTCGCTCAAGCATCTGTGACAGAGGTGATTAAAGAGAAATACTGAACAGAACTAACAAAACAGAACAGAACTAACATCCTACAGAGCTAAACGTACCTATATATCTGATTTTTGTCAGCGGGGAAGCGATGCAAACAATTCAATAACGCTCTTGAACAAATTCTCATACATTCGGCATCGGCAAACTCAGCTTTTGCCAAGAGATCGCGTAATGCTTGTCGAGAATCTACAATGGCATCCTGAAATTCTACGCTAGAGCAAGCAATAATGATTACTCCAGAGCAACAACCCCAGATGAGGCATGTCGAACAATAAATCTGTAGATGGGATCGAGTTGCTCACGAGTATCGCAGATGTGCTGTTGTCGCGGCTCGAAAGTGGGCGACAATGACGCTAGGGCCTTACAAAGGAATCGAAGAAAGGATAGCGGCTTGTGTGAACTTACGGACGAGATACCTTTCACCCTCTAGCATGTAAAGTAGATTACGACGTAGCACGATAAGATAGCGGATAGGTACAGTCGAGATCCGTAAGTTGGGGTAGGCGTGTCACCGGAAGTGACGTGGACTTGATAGAGGTTGCGTAGGTAAGTCGCTGCCAGCATGCTTTGCTGATATCTCGCGATATATATTGGAAGCACCTTATCCACATAGATTCTATCAAGTACACGTCACTTCCGGTGACACGCCTACCCCAACTTACGGATCTCGAGTATATGAGTAAATATGATATGTGCATTTCGGAACTGATGCGATTCTGTTCAAAAAACACGTCCAGACACGTCCGTTCCCCGCCATCATCAACAAACGTGTTACCTCACCAATTCCGTCTAGGGTTGTTGCTTTGAGTCCATGGAGTTGTTCTGATGCTTCACTCTCTCTAGGTGAAAGATGATAAATAAATCTGAAAGAGCACCAGTGGTACACAAAAACTTCACCATATAACATGTGCTCTTCGCGTTCTCATTACAACATGCCTTCGCCTCGTCCTGTGATGGATAAGTGGGAAACAAGTGCTACCACATTATTGCGCAAATCTCGATGACCTACTCAACAGCGAGGAGGGGAGTGTTATTTTGATGGGAAATATTCCAATAAATGAAATATAATACATGAAATTTGCGACGTCTTTCTTTTCCAGTTTTTGCTTTTGCCCTCCTAAATCTTAGTAAGAACAAATCGGAAAGAATCAAACCTCACATCAAGGCATTTCAGCACAGTTTCCAGTTGCTCCTTCTGTAATTCTCCATGAACAATAAGCGAGAGTTGGGTTGGTTACGCTGAACAATTGCCACAGTCGGGAACCGTTAGAAGAAAAACAGCGTGTATCCGTCACCGTTATCAAACATGACCCTGTTAACGGCAAAGCTGAAATGGAAATTGTCAACAATCTCACCCTTGAACATATCAGCAAGATGATCTAATGCCAGTTATGCCGCAGAAAGACGGCCCGGGAAAAAAGGGCTTTTATTTAAAAGGAAAAAAAAAGCCGATTGCGAGTTGAATAACGGCAGGCTCGTCAAGACTGCTGGAAACTTGCAAGTTTTTTTTTCAAGTATTCTAGTAAAATATATATCCTCTCCCCCTGAGAATTGATACGGAGGACAAAAAACATTATTATTCGCTGTTTCTAGTGGAACTTCGATGTCCACCCCGAGTTTCTCCTGTTTCGAAGAAGGCAAGCTACTCTGAAGCCTGTGATACTGTCCACAGCTTAGGTCACCTTTGTCGCGCGCTCGGTATAGGAGACCATAAAGGCGGTGAGAATTCAGATCACAATAGTTCGAATCAGTTACCATAATTTGAAACGATCGAATTCCTAAATCACTCCTGATGAATAGTAGTGGACCGAACGGATTTCTAAAAGTTGCTCCACACTGTTCAAATTTTAATGGAATACTATTGCCAATTAGCGCATACCAGTATACTGTATTTTGAGAATAAAACCAGTGAACAAACCCAAACTCACACATGAATTCGTCTTCTAATGCCGAAACGAAAGCACCACAGGCACCACGAGGAACTATGCTCTCCGATTCATCGTCCTGAGCTGCAGCAGACTCGCTTGGAGGACAACGAGCATTGAGTTCCTTTCCGGATGACCACTCACTACTTGTACTCCTCAAACAAGAGTTATAAGACATAAAATAAAATTGAACAAAATACACCCGAAAACGTCAAAAAGATATTGAAAAGGAAATTCCTCCCATTCAAATCAACTTACGCCTTCTGCCGTTGGTATCCCAAATGACTAGACTTCCATCGAGATTCTCTCGCAGACTGTTGAGGTCCTTGCGTTATAGCGAACCGTGACTGATGAACTTTCTTTACTTGCTCCCTACCGCTAGAATCCTAAACGGGTAATTATTAATGACGCATGAGCAGAATATGTTTAGAGTTGGCAGACCTGGACAGTTTTCATCATTTTCTTGTCAAGGGTCTGATCTAAGAAGAAGTCCGACACGATCTGGAACTCTCCGAGAATAGTAGCTGCTTCCGTTCTCACCATCACCTAAAAAATTTCTATTGAAATGGACGCCGTCGAAAAATGCAATCCCTTGACACTTTGCGGAGCCTGTTATCCGAAATAATTGCAGCCAATTACACGGAGCGATAAAGCCACCTCACCTCCTGGTCATTTACTGCATCACATACAATTGAGAATGCGTCATCACATAGTTGTAACTTTACGTCGGATGATTTCGAAAAAGTACTAACAATAGGTCTAAAAAATGAAAACGGCATTATTTTAACTTTGAACTTAGAACCGGAGGGAATCTCATTGAGCAAACTACCTACAGTGTTGGCATCCTGTTCGCAAAAACCAGTAAGATACGTAATGCGAGAATTCGTACTTGTCTGTGAGAGTCTCCGACCGACTGAAACTCGATGTTTCATCACTTCAAACATTTTAAAGATTCACAAAAGGAGCTAATTATATTTCCTAGGATGACGAAAAAAGGTGGTAATGAGAGTGGTTGAGATAATCTCCATGAGTTGCCGCTCCAAAAATGTCTTTCTTGTTCAGCGCAGACATTCTTAGCGCTTGAGGAGTTTCCAATTACAGTGCCACAACGTAAGTTCCGCTTCCACCAGACCAGTTTACGAAAGTTCTATCCAAGGCTCGTATCCAAGGACTCGAATACCTCTCTTCCGCTCCCCTAATTGCTTTTGAGACAACATTATGCTAGAGCTCAGCTTCACAAACCATGCCACCTCAGAACCGTTACTTCGCATTTTGATGGAAGAACGTTACTATCAATTAAACCTACGTTTTTGACGGTATTGTAGGTATGAATAGTGAGACCATCTTCGACACCGCTTAAAAGTGATAATCCTTCTATCGCAGATAGACGGACACGTGAATCCATATCCGTGGTCATCTGACACAATAAACGCTCCAAGACTAACAATGATGTTGAGTCAGGCCTTCCTAAAAAAGTAGGAGTCACTAAACATCGCAACAGACTTCTCGTCTTTAAAAAAGTAGGTTTTTTATGTACCAATATTTTTACTAAACACAAAATGGCTCAGGAGAACGTGAACGGCAAACGTCTTGAAGTAATTTGGTTGATTTGCTTCAAAAGAATTACAGTAATTACGTGATCTGTTCCAGATACAATCACCACAATACTACTTCAAACGACTGTATACAACTGGGAAAATCTTACACCTAATTATAAAAAAATGAGCGTTAAAAACAAGTAACTAGCTATTGTGCTGCCTATAAGCAAGCACAAGTACTCCGTGGAAGAGAGGGTTCACCCATTCTGCAAGGGAGGAAAAGAAGGCAAGAAATTGTCAAAAAATAAAGATACAGTAAACTTGATTTACTACAAAGTGAACTCACTGCTCATGACGCGTGCAACATGAAATCCTATAGCTGCACATCTGTATCCATGAACTGCGGAATGCAAACATCGATCTGCGCAGCGCAAAACTCTGCGAAATAGAATTTCATGGTAACCACTCCGATGTGGAGACTTAATGACGGGAGGACACCTTACCTCACAGGAATGCAGTCTGCCGATATTGCTCCTGTATTGAGACCCTCTGTTAACAAAAGTAGCAAGCTATCGTCTAGATAAGTTCTGGTAAAGAGGCTGAAATCAAGAAATGAGCAAAAGTTTCAGGAAAAACTCGAAGTGCCCAGATTAGTACAAGAACCATCGAAGGCTCTTTTCAGCAAAGCTTTTCACCACTCAGATGGGAGAAGATAAAAAATAATAGGCAAACAATGAAAAGATAAGTTTTCTCACTTCGCCTCTTTGCCTGCATCTGCCACCTGGAAATCCGCTCCCTCATTCACCATTGCAAGTGTGACTCGTTGGCAACACTCGGAATGTGTCTAGAACAATATCTTTGAACGCAAACAATAAGAATAGGAGCAATCGTCATCATCCGATTTGGTATTGGTATAAGCCATGCATCCCTCCTCCACTCACAGTTGCAGAATCGATTGAAAGGTGTTATATGATGGGGACCTTCGAACGAAACTGTATTGTAGTAGACATAGTGTGTTGTGCTATTCCTGTAACCTAAAAAACAACTTCATTTGCCCAGCGCTTTTTCTTCACGGTTGTCGTTTTTCCGACAGGGTCCCTAACAACAGCGTCATTCTCAGCGAGGTATTAAGGGAGAAGGAGCGAGCGACGAGCACAGAGGAGGTGCC